ATCATGCGATATCGGACGCACGCATTTCTCGCAGTCGGGAGATCCAGATGACTGGAGCATTTATGCTCGTGATCTTTATCGGCGGATCTATAAATCCGAGAAGTGTAGCGCCGGCGCGCCACTCTGCGATGTGAATTCGCGGGACAACGGCGTTGTTAAAGTCAATTTCCGAGCTTCCGCCACCGACGCGCAGTGGTGCTTGTGTGAATAAAAGCAGAATCTCTCTCTCTTTCTTTTTCTCTCTTTAAAAACATATCTATGAGAAATAACGAGACACATCTGTATATACAGTTTCGAATAGCGAGTTAATGAGAAGTCGTGGGTAAAAAATCTCACTTTAGAATAGCTAATTATCTTAATCGTTTTATTGCTTCAAATAGCGCTTGACGAGGCTAGATGAGGCAAGTCCCCGAATGCCCCGTCATAAAGCTTATTCCTTCACGAAGCACCACCGCGCGATATGCTCTGCTCTATTAACGGCGACGAGGAAGACGCCGAATAACGGTATCGTTTGCGCGCGCGAGTTCCGGTTACGATCTTCGAGAGCCGGAGGCTCCTCAGGAGTCCGTGCTTCACTCTCCGGCAGGAAGTCACGCCGCCGGAAATCGTGTCGCAAAGTAACGTTACCGAGTCGTGCCGGAAATTTACGGCCGGAGAACGAGCGAAGTAGCAGAGGACAGACGGACGGAACATAATTGAGGATTATTTCGTTCTACTTCTTAATCATCTAAGTATGCACCTAAGAAACGCCGCCTCACCTCTCTGAACGTTATTAAAGTCTACCTGTGAGAAAATTCTTCTCGACGTTACTGGGTTTAATTAAATCGGATTGCCGTTTGGATGAGAAATTAATCGGTGGCAACTTTTATGCACGTTATTTCTGCTTCGCTGACTCCTTCCTTCGAATATGACTTGCACAGTTTATAAATTGCATCTCTCTCGTAACTTTATTTGACGCGTTAAATATTTTACAATATGTCTATATTAAATTTCTGTAAATTTAAGTAAAATCCGCGTGAAATTATTAAGTTGTTGCACGAAATCGAGAATCCAATTTCTATCTTCCATTTGCGGCAAAGCTGAATCTTGTCAGAATTCGTTAACTTTCGACATCTTTCTGACTTTTATCGGGAAAAGCTCGACTACATATTTATCATACGTTGCCGACGTCTAACGCAAATCTCGTAAACTACTTTGCATAACGAAATTTCGCGAGTATTTTCTCGGACAGCGAGCGAGAGCTAACGAGCACCGACAGCGGGACGACTCCGTTGTAATTATCGCGGATTAGATTAGATACTAAGATAATTGAATCGCGGAGGCCGTCGATAACACAACGCTCTCTCTAACTCTGAGATCCCTATATAGCAGTAAACGTCAGTTTTCTCGACGACTGGACCGGCAATGAAAGTCGAGCGGGCTAGCCGGCCCTTCCTACACGGCACAACGGCTTTTACACTGATCGACTATTCCTGGACTCGGGTCGACTCGTGAATCAACTTTGTGGCTGAAAATATAATATATGTACGCGCGCTCGAGCGGAAGTTGCGTTCATAGGTGCACCGACGTGCATAGGTATCTGAAGAATAGTGATATTTCATCGAGACAAGTTAGGGTTCTAAGAAACACGTATAGATAAAATTTATGGATTTTTACATTTTACAGTTTGGTTTATGTCTTTGATAAATCTAGATCAACGAGCGATGATTAAAAAATCTGCGCACAAAGGCGTCGTATATTCAAACATTTTTGTTTATTCCTGAAATTGAAAAATTTTTAATTTTACACAAATAACATTCTCTCTGATTTTTCTTTTTGGTCGATTGTCGATTGACTCAGCCGAAGGGCGGGGACGGAAGGAAAGGTTGAGAAATCGCGCAATCAGATGTTGACGTCACCGCGATGACCTCATCCCACGTTTGCAGTGCACGTGTCGTGAAATCGCGTTCGTGAGTAGAAACATAATCGTTGTAGAAGCGGCGAGTTTTAACCCTCACCAGCGATTTCACTCACCAGCCTGTTCCCGCGGTGTCTTCATTCGAGTGCAACGACACTCGAGCGATAATATCGAAGGACAGTTTCGCGTGATTATAAGGATGCACTAAAGAAATTGGCAGATCTTGAAGTTTACGTCGATAATCGCGTGATATTCGCGATACTCTCTCTCTCTCTACTCGATAAAAATACATGACCTAACGAGCATCTGGGTGGCGCGGCAAACATTCGAGTAAAGAGTAAACGTTTCTCGTCGAGCAAGATGGTAGTCGATGATGTCATTCGCCGATCGTTTTGTACGCGCACAGCCTCATGTATTTGTCGTAACTATAGTCGTCCTGAAAAGTTGCGTCACTTTTTGCCACCGTAAAACACTAAATTCCCACGATAGTAAACTCTTGTCGCTCGCGAAGTTTATCTCTCATCGCGTCTAAAATATTAATAATATTCGTGGTATAAACTTTTTACTATAAATTTATAAATTCTATATAAGAAATTTATGTCGAGGGAATAAGTTTCGAATAAGTAAATTATCTGTCTTGCCAAAGGTAAGATTTCAAGGCGACGTCTTTTTAAATTTTCCGCTGCTTTAGTTCGAAACTTTGCTTTTGCTTTTACTAGCCATTTTTTTTTGCATAGATCAAATGTATAAAGAAGTATTTTTGAAAAACACCTTCTTGAGAAAATTTCTTAAGAAAATTCTCTCAGAATTAATTCGTCTTAATTCATCTCGACTGACGCGCTGCATTATGCATCCGTTTTACGTACTCGATTGTACTGACATTTCGGATATTCGCAAGGGCAGATTTATCGCGGGCCGCCTGCGCTTCGTCTGCATTATGTGAACGGCGAGGTTTATTCCGCTCTCGAGACGAAGCCCGTTTCAGTCGTGTGCAGCACGGGGATACGCCGCACGCTGCATGCGAACGCAACGGCGGGGGCATGCAAATTTATCAATTTAGCGCCCCGGTGCACTCAAGCGCATTGCATCATTGCTCCGTAATCGCGACGGAACCGGCGGCCATCGTTATGCATAATTCGCCGTCGTGTTTAACCTTTCGTCTCCGAAACACGTGAAATGGATGAACCCAAAATTGGGTCAGCGTAACATTTTCATAATCATTCTACTTTCGTATTTAATAACAAATCTATACTTATCAGAGAGAATTTTCCCTTAGAATTTAATTTACCCTGAAAATCATGGTATTTATGACACAACATGTATATTACGAAGAGTTTTATCCGAGCTATTCTGATTAATATCTACCATAATAAAAAATATGAATATCTATTACAATAAAATTTAAAATATGTTTGATTAATTTTACTAAAATATATAGTAAAATTACAATAATTTTTCAAAAATTACCAATCTGGTTGGTAATTTTTACTAGTACGTTGTTTGTATAATGTCTTTTGTAGGTATATTTCAAAAATTTCTTGGTTGCCAGTTGCAAGTTGTTCCAAGTTTGTGGTGAATTTAACGGTAAAATTCGGTAAGTTAAACCGTCGTATTTTTCCGACCCGCCACGAATTTTATATGATTGACGCACAATGATCCATCATTGTTAAAATAACTTGAAAAGGACCCAAAAAATAGTGGTCGAAACGTCGTTGTGTTATGCTTAATAAAACTTGCCAGTCAGGCCGTTTAACTTACCGAATTATTTCATCACTGGCGAATAACTTTTATTGAATATTTAACGGTAAAATATAACGAAAAATTCTCTCTGTGTAGAGATTGTCTGTATGAAATCAAAACCGTCTCAATCTTGATTATACATTCGTTGATGCGGTGTTCGTGAAAATCTCGATAGCATCGAGAATGAATCGTCGAGAATCCTCGAGTTTCCTGCCCTCTCTTTTATCAGAAACTCGGGACGGTAGCCGGTGGTCATTTGTCGTGTAAATAAAAAACGTGGTTGCGGCCGCGCGTTCGCCTTCGCACGACCTTGGCGAGACGCAAGGTAAGGTGACTCACGCAGCAGATGATAAGCGCAGTGGAGTTATCGCGCAACGGTTGCCCGACGCGGAGTAATCGAGCTATCAAGCCGGACTCTTAATGCACACCACGGGGTTCGAAAGAACCCCGCACGCGGCCGGCCCGTATGGCTTTCTTATCACGCGTGCAGTCTTTAGAGATATCGGCTCGCTGGAGTCAGCTGGAGTCTTTACTTTAGAAGCCGCTCTTATCGACTTATTGCGCTTACCGCGTGTGCGATATCAAAGCTGATTCTCGTCTCGCACGCGAATCTTATATATATATATTTCTACGTAATTATATCAGAGATATATAATGGCTCGAAAAGGCATTCAAACGATTCCACTCGGCTGCCGGCCGTTGAGACAGCTTCCGCACTTGCTTCGTGGAATCGTGGCAGCCAGTTTTCCCCCGGCAACGCAAATCTCTTCTTCAGAGAGAGTATCGTTATTCATTTCTCGGCGCGCGTCGGTGTTCCAGAAGTCATTGCCCTCAGCTCGTGCGTCCTCGGGTTCTCACGCCCGCGTGTGCGTGATGTCACCTGTCCGCGAAAACAGGTGGCCATTCAAGCGAGAGACGAGATCGTTTCTTCTCCTTGTTTCCCCTCGCTTTTCCCCCGGTTTGAGAGGGAAAAAACCCCGTCGTAAATGCGTCCTCTTCATTCTCAAGTAATAGACTGTTTAGCGAATACTTCGTCGTTCTTAGGACGATACCTAGAAGTTCTTTCAGTCTTAAACTGTAGACAGTATTCATGGTCTAACGATCCAGTGCAATGGTTATATAGCATAGTATAATACAAGTTTATCTTTAAGATATCACTTTAATCAATCCTCGAAATAGTCTTGAAATTAGACTTATCTCGAAGATTGTAAAGTAAAACTTTTTATAATGGCATTTATATATAACGATAGGAAAGGGATAAGTAAAGCAATGCATTATACACTTAGAAATAGTTTTACATACAAATTTTCATTTAATATTTTATTTTTAATATTCATACTAATCGACTACAAATGTTTTTCAGGTAGTCCCGATGCTACTCTATCAAGAGGACATTTCGGACATCCTTGCCTCGAGTACATCTTGGCGCGAACGTGAGTACGTCCAGTTTGCATTCTTTTGTATTTTGTCTGCGATAAAAATCGATCCCCTTAAGATCTAAATTTTCTATTATGTCGATGCAAAAATTGTTAAAACTGAAAATATCACAATCTATTTGACGATACGGGAAAATGTATCTTATTTACGGAATGAGAAATAAGGTATATAGGATATAAATTGCTCTGAGAGAATTTTAATTAATTTTCACACCTTGATAAGTTTCGCAAATTGCTAGATACGCGATTGGAAGATCGATTTAGCATTATAAAAGATAGAACGGGCAAAGTCGGTTAAAGGGTCAACTGGCTGCGAGTCTGCCTTGGAAACAGTCGCAGACGAGTGCGGACTCGAAATATCCGTGACCGTGATTCGCCAAAGGAAAACCGAGTTCGTTCCGGTGTTCGCAAAGTCGCGTAACGGGAGCGGACACGGGAGCCGATTCAGCCGTGAAATTCTTCACGCACGGAAGGGCACTTCGGGGCTCTTTAAACCAGGCGGGGGTTCGCATGGGAAAGGAGCAGGTTGAATGGCTACCACGGTCGCCACGGCTGCCACGACGAATGCGCGTTTGCACCTTGCAGTTTAGCTGCACGCGCGAAGCGATCGACCGTTTCGGTTCCGCAGAATACTTTGAGTAATGTCGCAAATCGGCGAGATTAGAGGGTGTATCTTAAATTACATTCTCTTCCGCGTACAGGCTATCGCGGAACAGGCACGTCTCAATTCCACATCACTAAGAAATCGTTTAAAAGAATACTTGATTATACGAGAGATGGACACGCACAGAGAATTATTTATCTAATTTATTTATCATTATAAATGAATATCTTTTACACAGAAACAATCTATAATCTTGAAATGAGATTGTTGCATTAAACAAAGAAAACTTGCTTGAACGAAGTCATTTATATAGTTCAACGAAGAAAAAAAGTTGAAATTCTTATAAGAAGATTATAGATTGTTGCGAGCGTTGCGAGTATATAAGTTTTGATTTGACACTTCTTTTTTCCTGTGTATTTATAGATAACTGTCGTGTAATCAGAATGACAGAAAATGGTTAATTTTTAATATTGAAATTCAATTTTAGTAATAAATGAAGAATAAATTCGATTACGTTCTTTATTAATAAAAGATAAGATACGCGAGATTTACAGATTCCACTGATACATCTCGCCAATTCGATCTTGAATCGTAGCTTGTAAGCTGCAATCTTATCGATTCGGTGGAACATTTTCTCTTCTCTGCAATGATCATAAGTACTCTTCTGCCAGGTTTAGCCTCGGGAATAGAGATACGAAGAAACTATCAGATAAATATTAATCTTCTGTCTGTATCTCTCTTTTATATACATATCTAAGGAAAATAAATTTGATAAATAATCAATGTACATCTCAGATTTTTTCATTAGAAAGACATTAAGTAAAAGAATTTTGGTGCTAAGTGCGTGTGTCAATAAAATATGGAGAAAGTACTTACTCTTCTGGAGAAAGCAATTACTATTAGAAACGTACAAGAATGATCCACAGGTTGACTTGCGATTGTTACCCGGCGACCATGTCAATTCCCAATTTACCGCTTTTTACAGAAACGACCCACTTCCGCGCACAGTTATAAAAACTCGCGGCCTGAACGATCTCCTGCCTTTCGATGCAACATTAACGACCAGTCGCGAGTCCTGCAGGTAGAAAGTCACTATTTCAAGCAGCAGGTAGGAATCCGAATTCACATCGGGTTAGGAAAAACGTGCAGCAGGTAGGCCGGTGCACGGTGCAAGATGCATGCGTCTCGGGAGGACGATACGAGATCCGAATTGATGTAAGAGCCACAGCGGCGGCGGCATAGAGCGGCGTCTAGAAGCGGCAGAACGGAGAGCAGAGCGGGCGACTAGAGCGGAGTAGAGTAGGTATAGCTATAGTCGGCCGTCTGTCTTGTAACCTTTGCCTCGCTTTTGCGTCGTGCTCAGTCGCGATTCGGCGTTCCGCTGGCGAACGTTCCTTTTCTCTCCTCGCTATCCTCCGTGGAAGTTACTCGCTGCTGCACCGAAAGTAACAGTATTCGTAATCGCGTTGGAGGCAACAGTGACACAGAAATTTCGGCGTTACGAATCACTGTCTAAAAATTGTCGAGGGTGGTTTCCACGTTTTAGTGGAAATAACGTGTACTTTTTCGGCAGAAATTAACGCGCTGAAGTAATCTCAAAAATTTCTATAATCCATTAATGCCGTGCAATCATTTTAGTGATCAAGATGCGGTCGTAAAGCGGAATCGCGCGACGCGAATGTGACTTCGTTTGAGCGCGCAGGCGTCGGCGCGAGCGAGTGAGCGTGTTAGCTAAGCTCGGAGTCGCGGTAGCAGTCGCGAGACCCGAGTTTGCGGCAAACGCGCATACACAAGTTAACGAGCCAACGTGCGAAATTGCGCGCGTGAGAAACGAACAGCGGTGGGTGCGTCTGACCGTAAACTGAGACTGAGCTTAAGCGGCTTGAGAGAGAGAGAGACGATCGACGATAAACGCAAAGCTTTCGTGGGTGAGCGATAAACGTCGCGTGAGCTTTCGCACCGGTGAGTCGATCCCGATATCCGTATGAGACGCGGAAACCAGTGGAGCGAATTTCCTTCCCTTCTTTTTTTCCAAATTTTTGTGCGCAAATTCTTAGACGGCGATATTTTAGATTTCCACGATTTTATCTCGTGTACGTTAACGAATTTACGTTTACTTGTGGATCAGTTCTACGTTAATTAGTTTTAATTGCTTTATGCAGAAGAAGAGTACTTTCTCAACATTTTTTATTGAAAAAAAAAATTAAAACTTGATACGGGCAATAAAAGCCAAACGAGACGTTTAATCGCTAAAATTTATTATAAAATACATGTTAAAATTACGTAAGTTTTGATCCTATTTAATTTTTTTTAATTATAGAGCCTTTACATAGCTATTTTTTATTGATTATTGTATTTAAGTGTTAAAAATCTTTGGGCGTATATTATCCTCTCACAATTCTATTGAGCACTCCATCTACATCAAAGTCCACTGTTTCTTCTAATTTAATTGACTTTGCGACTATAATGTCTTTCTCAATTACACTCTTTTCATGCGTCAGAATTTCCATTTATCAGCGATGCCGTTAAACATTCAAATCCAGCCAAATCGACATTCTTTCCAATGCTTTCTTCTATATCCGATATCGCAGACTTTATTGTCGAAGACGCGGCGGCGCCTAAAGATAGGAAGTGCGATGTCAGGTCTATGTCAGTCAGTGGCTATATGTAAACGCATTTAAAGCGGATCGTTTCCTTCGCGCCCGCTCTCTCTCGTTCCGATTGATCCGCGGCTGTTTGCGTAACGTTGCGCGGCGGATGGATTCAATACAGTTAACGATGACGATAACGATGACGCTCGTCCAGGAAAGACGTTTTCGCGATGCGGACGGAGACATACCGGTTTGACAGGAGACGGTTGACTTATCGCGCTAATAATAGCCCTCTCCACTATATACGCGAACTATAGGCGCCGCGACACGCGTGATTTCGTATAATCGCTCGACCGTCACAAAGATATCGAACCGCTTACTCGGCTTAACCCTTTTAATACTCCAGGAACAATGCTCGCTATTGTTCCGCCTTCTCTCGTCTCAATGGAACCAATCTCCCGATAATTCAACTTGATATTTGATTAAATTTCTTCTGTGACATTTTTACGATTTGTCAGATTATCGAGGTGTGAAAATTAATGTGTATCTAACTGCAGATTTGTAATAATTTTAATAATGTTAATCTTTTATTTTTTTCAATAGTATACAACTTGAAGTTTTTGATGCATCGATAGCTCTTCCTATATTGTTCATGTCTTTTTAAGAAAAAGTAAGGATTAATCTGTTTCGTGAAAAAATTTTTCTTCAAGATTATATATACTGCTCAAAACGATTATACGATTGTTTCTTCAGAAAACTATGACATTTAGAAATATTTTAAATTTCAAAAGTTTCTCTTAGCATCTAAAAGCTTGATCTGAAATGAATAGATACGTTCGTTTAAATGCTATTTTACCTGTTTCTAACCGCTGGCATTCGATTTAGAATTATCCGAATCTTTCCTAATTGTTTCGAACGGTATATTGTTAACTTGTAACTGGTCTAACTACGTCTCTCGGAGCATTAATCAACCGGCTTGCCGTCATGCTCTTATTACCGTGAACGGTATACTTTTTCTATCCGCTTCCGACGACCCTCGATTGATCTCTTTTGTGTCGCTTCGTATTTTTCTCACCGTCGTCGCGCCTACCCGGTTAATGACTCCCGGGCGATCTTCCACGGCGATCTCGTACTGAATTTCCGCCTACGTGTTTGCTTCCCGTGTGCCCTGCAGGTGAAGGAAAAAGGGACGATGTTGTCGTACATGCTGCCGACGGAGGACAAGCCACCGCCCGGCGAGCCCAGCAGCCAACAGAACAATTATCGCGCGACCGGCAAGCTGCAGAAGAGCACCGCCGTGGTTACCACGTCGCCGAGAAAGTGCGCGGACGCGACTAGAGCAATGATCGTCTCTACCAGGATTGAGGATCCGGCCGGCGGCGATCCCGTCGCTCGGCACGGCTCTCCTCGACCGACCCTCGAGAGCCCGAAGCACAACGGGACGACTACCACGAGGAAATCGACCCTGCACAACGCCAACAGGGTTACTAAGGACGACAGCCTCTACAGCATCGACAGCGTGGCCAGCACCGCCGGCAGCGAACGCAAGAACAAGATTCTGAACGGCGCGAAGCACGCTAGTCTGAAGAGGTAGGTGGAGATCTTATCAAAAGAACGATTTTTATTTTAAATTATTCAGGACACCGTAAACGAGAGGTTGCTAGTCTAAATCTTGCGTGCTTTACAAAATAAACCATTTTTTTTTAAATAATCTCAAGGACTCGAAATCTTGGCAGAATTCAATGATACTCGCATTTGTTGTATTTAAGATGCTAAGATTTTATCGAAGATGTTATCGAGAATTAATATTATATTCAGCTCCAATCGCGAGATAAAATCACGAGTCTTCAAAACCGAAGCATTGTTTTCGTTTCCTTCGGAGGAAATGTTGAGATTAAACCGCGCACGCGTTCCCCCTTTCTCTTTCTCTTTGTCTCTTTCTCGAAGCAGGTTCTCGATGAACGCAGCTCGTCCTCGCCGTCGAAAACCCGCAATTACCCGCCCCGCGAATATACAAGCGCGCGCACGAGTTCATCGGGTTTTACATGATGGTAAAACGCCTCTCTTTCGCGAAAGGAAGGAGAGAGAACGTCACTATGTATCGGGTCTATAGGTTGACTTTCCCGTACGAGACTTTTACGGCAGTTGCACGTGGGATAGGTCAGGGTCAGCCTCGCCGAGACTTCGACGGGGCGTCGGCGTCGTAATGCATCGAGCGGAGCCTCTCTCGCTCGGACGAGACGTACCGGGATCGTCTCCTGAGTGCACTTAATAATCTTGACAAGAGACACACGAGATAGCGAGAGAGGTATGAAACCGCCGTGAAGTAACGCGAAGTAGGAAGAGACTCGATCAATGTTGTTTTTTTTTTTAACATTTTACGAACATTTCACGTTGTATATACACACATCGTTACAAATGCCTTCTTACTTGAAAATAACCGCGTCCAAGTCAAATAATAGCTAATAATATGCTATCTGTTATTTAACTCGGACGCAGTTATCTTCAAGTGGGAAGGCATTTATGACGCCGTACGTGATCTAAGTCTTTACTAAGCTGTATGACTAAAATAATATTCGGAACTGATTTATGGGAGCTAAACGGTTCTAATGAAATAACAACCTTGCGAAGTTGTTACACACAAAAGCGCAGTTTTTGCAGTGTCTCGTTATGTCAATAAGAATGAGAATTCCAAGACACGTAGCCTTGTCGCCACTGTGCTAATTACTCGGCTCTACTTACCGCGAGAGTCTATTTAGCGCATTTAAAAATATCGCGAATTCGATTATTTCATGGTCACAGTTGTAATTACTGCGTCTCTAATAATTCCACAGTGTCGCCGTTTTAATTACCCTCGCGTTCTTGTATACTTATGTGAGAAAATTAAGAAATTGTGTTCTATTTTGTAACAATGAGATCAATTTTATTCAATACTTTTCAAGCATTTTCTTAATTGCGTTATATGGAATACGTTAACACGCAGATAAATACCAACAACGGTTGATGCGTTTTCGAGGAAGAGCGTTTATTTAGGTTGACTTCGTAATAATGCTGGCAGCGCGCGCGCTAGACTTGAATCACTCTAGAAAGGAACTGTATGACCTGATCCGTTGCCAAAACGCTGTTGCGTACTTAGAAAATACTGTTGCGTATTTAGCGTCTATTTTTGCAAATGTATCAGCAGATAGATGCATTTGCACGTGCATCTAAATTCTTCTTGCCTAATTCTTTCAAATGATCGTATTTTTTATTATTCTTAGAGGACATTCGTAACATTTATTTCCGATTTGACGTTTTTTAATGTCTAATTTTCCCATTCTTGTCAGTAACATGCGATTTTATTTTAATTTGGAGCTTAATTATTGAGATAATTGATATTAGAAAGAAAAACGTCGTGAGAGATAAAAACCATTGTTTCGTAAAAAAAAATACTGACAATTTGCTAAGAAACACATTGTCAATTCTCACATTTTAACGAGCATGCTGTATATATCATAGAGATTAAATATTTTAATATTAGAATCCATATGCGTAGCTATAATCCGTGAAAACATTAAATAATAATACTTAATATAATGCAGTTATGTCAAAGCACGAAGAGATTGAAATGAATGCGTTTTCTATTGCAAACAAGAACCGTGGGATTCCATAATCGATTCCAACCGAGCCCAGACTATACCCCTCGCTAATCGACTACCGCCGCGGCTCGCTGCGTTCGATACTTCACAAGCCGAGAGTAAAATTATCACAGTCCGATGCAGCAATTCTTCTGCGATCGAGCAAAAATAAACAAGTAAAAAAATTTTTTTTATACTTATGATGTGTCTTATGGTATCGTTACGGTTCCGTTTGTTTACGAAGTTCTGAATTAATTACGAGTCGTGCTATCCTTGAAAAAACTTTAATTAATCCGAAATGCGTGCTTTTCTCTATGAAATCGAGTTTTAATCTTCAAATTAATTTCAAATGTATTATTTTATTATTTTAATTATTTATAGAATCTTAAATGCAACGTTGGATCTCTCAAAGAGGATGTTCGAGTTTAGCATTAAATAGAATATCGCTGTACATATAAATACGTATACTGTGAAACAAAGGTTGAGAAATATTGCCTTAGGACGTTAGAAGTAGATCGATGCTTAAGAAAATAAAGCGGCAAATATAAGAGATGTTGTCTTTACGAAAGAAGGGACGATACTTCCGTTCTTACGGCCTTCATGGATCAAAGCGAATTCGGAGGTTAAATCGGAACCTGATCGATGGGAGGCTGCCAACCGGGCGACCTCGACCCCGACCCACCCCAAACCCGCAATCTAAACCAGGTGTCATAGGATCTTCTCTTTCTCAAAAAGATTGCGATAATACACTTATAATAATATCTAACTCCGCATGGTGTTCGTTCGAATGAGTTTAAATTTAATCACGAATGAAATTTATGTTTAATTAGATAATTTTTATTATCCACCGTAATTTTTTTCCTTGATCAAGTAATTTAATGTTACTAAAACGTAAAAAGATTATGAAGTGAAATAAAGTAAAAGTGCGAAACGAGAGAACGTTATCTTTGTAAAATAATAAGCTGTCATTTTGTTAACCATGAAAACTATATTCTTACGTAATATCTTTTCAGATATTAGGTCGAGAAACCTTTAAAACAATATGTGGCTTTCGTGTTTTTAATTTGATAAAACACTTGGTGCTAAAAGCTTTTATGAATGAAGACAATGTGAAATTTTATCTCTCTCGTTATCTACTTCGCGTATTATATCCAAACAATCTAACATTACGTTTGTTGTACACTTGTTTGTGGCATATATCGATTAATTCTAAGTACAGATAAACACGCAGACCTACTGTAGGCTCTGTCGTTTCGGCACCCATATGACTTTGACATATTCTGGTTGGGAGACACAGCCACTCGTGGCAGCACCTTACTGCAGTCCATTTTAGCACAGACTAGAACCGGCGTCCCATGTTGTAGCTTGTAACAGCTCGTAGCAGCTCGTAACAGTTCTATCAAGTTTTAATCGACTGTACTTGTTAACATTCTCCGCCGCGTATAAAACCGTTGTGTAAAATGATGTCTATATATAATTACGGAAGAGAAACAGGAAAAAAGAGGGAAAGAGAGAGAGAGAGAAGGAATGTCTAGAGAGTATAATCGAAGAGAGCAGGCTTAATGCCGCGATATCACGTCCGGTCAGCAGAGAAAGAAAGCAATCTCCCGGATAAATCGGTCGGCACGACTTATCGATCCCTCGACATGGTGACTTAATTGATTCCTCGGCGTGCGCGGCGAACCGCGTCGGAAGATTTATCCGGCTGCGGGATTAACTCTGTTGCAGCGATGAGTAATAAGCTGCGCGCACGAGCGCGTTAAAACCGGATTCGGATTGAGCGAAGAGCACGAACGATCACGAACGAACGAATTTGCTTCGACGAGTACAAATGCGAGTCTAAATGTATATCGATAAAATCCGGCTTTTCTCGGCATGGCAAAGAAGAATTCGTCACGCTCGTTCGTATATTCGTTTCAAATACTCGTTCGTCCTTGCTAGCCTGGTTCATCTTTATGGCGACGCTGCGCGAAAACCGGTTTGCGTCAGTGATCCGCTAATGCCGTTTTCTGTCTTATTAGTGGCGAATCCTCGATTCTATTCTGTATCCTCCCGCGAAAATATTGGCACGATTTAATGTTACGCGAATATTCTAAATGCATTCGCATTTCGCGACATAATTTTTCCTGAAGCATATACAACGTTCCGAAAGAATGTAGGAAGAAGTCACTTCTGATTTAAGAAATTGGTGTTAATATTAAGATCAAAATTCGACAAGTTTTGCAAAACTTCTTCTCTGCACTAACAATAAGGCCGGTATTCATAGTCGGATCTTATTTCAAGACCGTCTTAAGTAATGTCTTAAGATGCTAATACGGCTCTGTGATTGGTCCATAACATCTTAAGATTGTACTTAACCCTATTCGCTCCAACCATGCCTTTCGTGTCCCACGAATTTCTAACAGTCGTTTGTTCCGGAAAACAAATGATCGTGGGAGAATCCCCTCCACGCCGGAAAAAAGTTATTGTGGCAGGGAACCTCAGGTAAAAATTTCAAAGTCCTAGCTCATTTACTCTCGAAACGGGGAACAATCAAAATCTCGGTGGGACATGAAAGTGCATGGTTGGAGGATTACGTCAGTGTTGTGTGAAAGGTAAATGAGCATTTTTTTCGATAAAAATGTATTTTTGTGTATAATTTAACCGTATTTAAAATATTTTTATTGTTAAAAAAGAAATTTAACATTCCACAGAGGTCTATTATGGCTTAGAGGCAGGTGGAAGAGGTGGGGAGGAGCTACGATTATATAAAAAAAATTAATTTTTTTACATAAAAAATATCTGTCACACTTCAAATTCGCCTTTTTTTATTCAGAAATTCTTTTTCTAGCATTCTTTAAGTCCTTAAAGTCGTTCTGTACCATTTAAAAATTACCAAATTTGCGGCGACGAAATTAAGTATTCCTATTTAATTAATAATTATCTCATATTTTTTTTCTCATTTGCACTACTTTTAGCTTTAATTTGCGTTTTGGTTCATTAAGTTTCGTCAATTTGTTTGTGAGTTATGATTTTTTAAGTAAAACGAGTCGTAACGTGTGTTTGTCAACATATAATTGTTGTAAAAAAATATTTAAATAAATGATTTTTAAATGTTCTTTACATTGATTTTTAGTCGAAGGTACAAAGATATTATAATAATTTTTGGGGAATTTTTCAAAGCTATTAACATTATAAAAAACACGTGAGACTCGAAAGTGCATGGTTGGAGGATTATTGGGGCGAAAAAAACGTTGGAGTGAATAGGGTTAAGACGGTCTTAAATATAAGGTCTGACTATGAATACCGGCCTAAGAATATTTATGATTTATGAAGAAGTATGTGTTTGCGGATCTACAACTGCCTCTTTTTTCAAATCTCAAAGCGAGTAGGATACGCTTCCCCAAAGTTTGACGATCTATTTCAGGGGATACTTTTGCGAATAGCTTTATAGCTTTTTGAGATGGAAAAATTATTTGAATATCAATATTTCTCTCACGTTATTTTACAAACAAATAAATTGAATTTATTTATAACTATTTATTTATTTCCAAAGTTTATATCTATTATATTCTTTGTTATCTTGATTTATAAATTTGATAAAATTAGTTAAGTAATTTATGTGTAAAGTTATTCGAAATTCTTTCTTATATAAATATACGAAATGCAACTCTCGTGGATGGTGACTACCTGCCGGACAAATCCGTCGGGAATTTCTTCTGGTTCTTTTTCGGCGGAGCCGCTTCCGGGGAGAGCAATAAATAACTGTGTACGGCACACTTATTTATATGCGCGTCGATCTCGATCACGCGCGCGATCGTAATCCGACGCCGCCGCGCCGATGGCGATCGCGAGATTTGGATTTTGATATCGCTTTTGCGGTCGTCGGTTGCGGTCACGCGATGGAAAACTGAGGTTTACTTACGACGAGTATTTTTCGTGCATTACTAGACGTGCACTGTTAGACGTTATCTGATCCCGTTTCGATCGTGTGCCGATTATAAAATGTCCAGATGAATGAAGAAATCGTTTAGCTATAACGACATTTACTCAAAATATGGATAAGATTATTCTTGTCTAATCTCATTCTATACAATTCCATAATGATTTAATTATAAATTTATCGATAGACTTGTTTAGTTATCTACGTATTTGTCGTTTCATCAAGAATGATTATTGTTTAGGGTATCCTTCGGCTCGAGCAAAGGATCGATGGTGGAAACCCTCGTGTACGAGACCCCAGTGCAAGAGGAACCTGAGATCAATCACTTTCTGGACCACAACGGCCGTCTACCTCCTCCTATGATACCTGTGCCTGATACTGAGTAAGTCGTAATCTCGCAGATCATTATCTCTCGATGGATTTTCGTCCATCTATTTTAATCTCGTCTGTATTTTAACATCAAAGATATTCTTATCTTGCTTTTAATTGATGCGTCGTTCGAATTACTAAATCCGGAAAATTAACAACGAGCGTATTTAACTTTATGAACATCGGAAATTCCAATTTCGCTTAATTTTCCTTAGGAGGAAACGCGTGTCAAACATTTGTACTACGTACGTTCACAATTTTTTTTAAACAAAATATATATTTTTAACATAAGAAGCACATATTGTGCCATATTACAAGTTTAGTCATGCGACGAACTTAACTTTTGATACTTAACTCTGATAGATCGTAATAGACGGTAAATAGACGAGAGATCGAGATACCACGCCACGTGAATACGTACATTGAATGACGCACACATTAGCTTGTTTTTCCGAGAGCAATAGTAACTTTGGCAACAACTCGTAAATTAGCACCTCAGAGTTTCGGTCGCGTAAGCCGATTATCGCGGCAAATCGCATCCTGAAAGCTATCACCCACACACACGTGCGTGGCGTGACGTCAACCGGCGCACCCGGCACCGAAATAACGTTCGTTTCTACGTGCGCGCATGCATCTAGGAGTAATGCCAGATCGCTTGGAAATCGAATCTGTAAATATCGAATCGACTCGTCAGGTTGAAACGTGGCGCGAAATCTCCGCCGCCGCTGCGTAAAATCCACCTCCCGTGCAATGGGCTACGTTTTCGCTCCCCCGACGCGTCAGATGTTCATCATTAAATGTAACACGATACCGAGAGTCAGGGGTCTGCGACGACTGACGCAAGATGTGCGTTTCGCAATGAATTCGGCTTAACCAAAATTTTCTGCGCAAAAGGAACATCACACATTTTACTTCTTCTCGTTAAGACGATAGGAGAGCGTGATTTGTTAATATTTCACAAAAGGTAGCGTTAAATTTGCGTGGATTGCCTTTTCCCTCAACTGGCTGCGATTTCATCTCGTAAGTTCTAATCCTAAGAATTTAAGAATTCGCCTCAAACAGTTCTAGATGCATATTCACTCAATTCGTATTAGATCCGAGTGCGGATCTCGCTAAATCAAATTCTTGCTATATAGATTCGTCGAACGTCGCGTTTTTTTCTTTTGCGCTAGTTTTGCTCGTATTTTTCGTAAAGACTTTCGAAGGCACCTTGTGATTGTATTTATGTCGCGACCGTAACTCGTATAGGCATCTCATTTCCGATCGGGGACGTACAGTGACGGAGATGCTATTAGATATTCCTGGCGCGCGAGCACCGTCGTTTAACCGGATCAAACGCGATAAGTAGCCGGCCATTAGTAGAGATATGCGTGGGCGGAAGGTAACTTCCAAGATGCGCGACACGCTATCTCTCAGGAATGTAATAGTATTGTACGTATAATACATGCACGGGGATGACTTTGACCGTCTCATTATGCTGAGGCGCTCCTTCTTTGCGCGAGAAATTCCAGAGAGATCCGCGATGTCTCCCGTTACGGCTCAAGCATATGAGACACGCATGAATGCTCGTGTTCAACACAAGTAACGAGAGATTAAACGTTTGAATGCTTAATGATTTACCATATAAAATCAAACTTCGGTAAAACTTAGCTCGCTGAATTTAAAAAGGAAATATATCTTACTTGTGAATACAGATGTTTTTTGCAAAGATGTTAGGTAGCGAGAATCAGAGACGTGTCTCTTACACTGCTAAATTTGTAGAGTCAAGTTATACTAATTTTGAGTCATTCTTAACCATTTCTATAAGTCGCCTCTGCTCCTACTATGTCGTTAATTTAACTGAACAAACATGGAGTTAAAATTATACTGTTTTGTGTTAAAATGATAAATTTCGACACACATGGTAGTGAAAAATAACAAAATGTTATTTAACTCGAGGTATTGGTTTAAATTTTATCCTTTTAATATTTAACAGTGTAGGACATTTTAATCATCACGCTGTCGCGCGCGATCATGAAAAAACGTTTATCGGTAGGCAATTTGACAACGAAATTCGCGCATTTCGCGGCTCCGACGGTTATCGCGTTGTGTGTCGATATTACGTGGCGATAAGATTACGAGGTGATGAGGCATCTTGAGAAAGATGGCTCGATAATAAACCGCGGTCGTTTGATGATTCCAGTTGTGTCGATTACGATAGCGCGATCGCGAGTCCACCACTTTCCGGCAAAGTACGAAAAGTGCAAAGTCAGAACGTGAACGGCGTAGCTAGCTTTTTTAACGGATTCGCTCTCGCGCAGATGACATCATCGCGTTTCTTTATTCGCGCGCAGTTACGTGTGCCGAGGGTTTTGTAATCACGCGCGTGATTCTCATATTCAAACGTACCGAGAGACCCCGTTGGCAACGCGAACCGTACAGCTCGCGCGGTGAGTATCTCGCCGCTGAATAATGCAGCGAACGTGCTTTTGCCCTTAGTCCTCCCCCACGCATAATGTTTGCCGATATGCGTTATCCGTTGGGTTCAAGTTTGGTAATAAAACCCTTTGAATTCCACCGTTATTGCGTGCTCGCAAAAATTATTGTATATGTAGTTTACATTATCGTAAAAAAGCATATTTGCTAGTAAAATTTTAGTGATGTATATGTTGAATAGTATTCTTTTTACTTGTTATCTAACTATTTATATTATTCATAATTTTATATTAGATTTATTTCTTATAAATTTTTCAAAAATTGTGACGATTACTAATGATTACCATCAGGACAGTTAAAGAGATAGACAGAACATTTTTATATTTAATAACAAGTGAAACTTTGACCGATAATTGATTCTTACAAGTGATAAGTATAAAAACTTACACAAATATTAAGCTACGATGAACCAACCGAGGATGGCTTATCTATTTGTTTTTATTCAATCACTAGCTTGATACCCGTGCTTCGCTACGGTATGTGTATATATAACTACTTTAAATAAAAAACCAAGTCGATATCTCATTGAGCCCAAGAGATATTGAGAAATCCGTGAAAACACATTTTACCCCTTTTCACCTCGTTAGTGTTGAACTTCTAAAAATCCCTTTTTGGTAGGTGTTTATGTCACGGAAGGAATATACTCCCCGAATTTCATGTTTCTAGGTTTAAGAGTTTGGGCTGGGCCTTGATGAGTCAGCCAGTCAGTCGGGACATTTGTTTTTATACGAGTAACATATACAGATTAAGAAAAGGTCTTCTTTCCTAAAAAATATATATGTGTCTTTCTTGGACCGTAGCATTATTCTTTCATCTTCTTTCTTTTTTTCCATTCGGAATGGGTTCTTTCTGAATTCTTCTTCCGCACCTTTTAGAGTAGACGTCTCTGCGCCTGTCGGAACACATTTTTGTTCTTTTTTTTTTTTCAAAGATTGATCGAGACATTACGTATCGCGTGTGTCGTCGGGTGAAACACCTGCGATTCGCAAGATCGATTCGAACGCGAAGGATCTCGTCGGCATGACGACAGATGCCGGCACCCACCCGGGGTTTCGCGTACCACAGTCGGAGTCGCGTGAAGGGAACGGAGAGAGGCGCCTGCGTGGCCGGCGTTCCGCACCGCACCGCGCCGCTCCGCGCCGTTCGGCGACTCCGGGAGACCGTTTTCCTCGTGTTAGTGGCACGCACACATCCGGCGCCGCGAGCGCAGTTCGCCGCCCGCGCTTCCTTTTCTTCCTATACCTCTCTCACCGGGGTAAGACCCTCTCGCGCGTCCCACCCGGTCTCCTCCTTGGCGCACGTTCGTCGTCGCAGACGTGCGTGTACGCGTGTCTGTGTGCTCTCGCTTTCTCTCCCACCCCTCTCGGCCGTCCCTCTTTCCCTGCTGCCGATTATTCAGTCAGGATAAGCGAGAGAGGAGCGCGAGAGGCAGGCAGGCGAGACGAGTGTTTCAGTACACCCGTGACCCTCTCTCGACGTGCACGAAGTTGCGTCGTCCGTCGAATTTACCTGCGGCGACGCCGAGGTTTGGCCCTTCTCGGGAGGAGCGTCGAGAAAGAGAGAAAGAGAGAGAGATCGATCGTCCAGCCTCTGGATTAGTAGTGCGCGCGTGCGACATCCAGGTAATAACGAGGTGGCGTTCCCCGGCGCCCTTCGACCCGGAGCTGCTTCGATTGCGGCTGCGATCCGCGCGATCGAGACAATCCGAGGGCCGAAACCCTCTCGGCCCTTCGATCGCTCCGATCCGCCGCAAACGGCGCGCTCAATCCTTTATTTTTGTCCTTCTTTTTGTTCGCCTGATGCGGGACACGGGATGTCCCGAAAGGTGCGTGTACACGCCCAGTGAGGGGGAGCTCGCTCCCCGAGCAGGTTTGGGGTACAACGGAATCTACGGTGTGTAAACTTCGTTCCGTTGCGTTCGAACCGCGCGTCTTCCTTTAGGCACGAATCTTTCGATGAACGTTTCAGCGTCCTCCTCCCAAGATGGTCTGATAAGAAATCAATTCGGAGTAATTTAATCGATCGTTAGTACCGCTGTTTCCTGTAATAATTGAGCTTTATCTTTGAAATTCCATATATTAAACTGTACGTGAAATTTAATGGAATTCAAACGGAGACCTTTTTAGGACAAACTTGTATTTGCGAATCGATTAACAGATAATTGCTTGTTCATCGGACAAGATAATTACTTCGCCCTGTACAGCAGAAGATTAATGTCAAGGAAATAATTGTAAATTTAGCTTGTTTTAGCTTTGAGAAAAAATGTATAAAAAAAGGGTTCGTTGAACTTTCCTCCTCTTCGGATATTATTAGCGTTCGCTATATGAATTACGCATTGTCTACAGGATTTACGGGTGAAAAGATAGTTTACATAGTTCACACGTACACGTAGACAATCGCTGTTGACGTTTGCAACATCACTCGCCTACGTTAATAAGACCGCGATTAGAGATAATGCAAATTTGAAATCACGTCTCGTTTAATTTCATGTGTTTGAAGTCCTAGAAATTACTCTTATTGTTCGAGGATATTAATATT